AGTAGGTTTGGTACATTTAAAATCTCTGCTTGGTAAAGCATTTTTTGCCCCATACGTCCTTAAATGTTTGAGTCAACAAAATATATTTTAATGGAAGGACTCCAGTCTGTGTTTGTCTTTTTGTGTTGTTCTCCCTTCCACCAGCAGGAGGCGCCTGGTCCTGGTTCGCCTCCTCACACACCTGATGATGGTTGCCTCGTTAGTGGAGTGCTCTTAAGCTGGTGATTGCCACTAGCTCGACGCCAGAGTCTTTGCCAGTTTTGGGTACTCTAGCCAAGCTGAGTTTTTGCCGAGTAAGACTGAGTTCTTGTCTACCTGAGTTTTAACTTTGTTTTTTGTCTTTGCCTCTCGGCAGGAAGTCATCCTGCAAACTGGACCTTTTTGGACCGCCTCTCCCAGGAGGGACCAACTGAGCCTTAAACTGAGCCAGGAGTTCAAACAGGAGGTTTGGATCCAGTCTCCTTGAAAGGACGTTGAAATTACTCTCCGAGCAAGGGAATCATATTCACTACGAACCCTTCAAGTAGAGCAGGAAATCTGAGTGGCAATCAGCATCTCTGTTCACCTACACCGTCCGAGTTCTGGATAAACCCTTTTCCGCCCTCCACCAAATCAGACAAACTCTGGAAAACAACACACAGATTGGAGTCAAAGATCCTTCACTTCTCTGGTAACGTGAGTCAACAATCAGATCCTCTTCTTCAAATCAACGAATAAAATTTCCCACTCAGCCTGAACTAATAGTCTGTCTTCCCCTCACCTTCCAGTTTCGCTGAGAAGAGTTCAGAGCAACACTGCACTGTGCTTAATCTCTTCAATAAAACTTGTTAAACTTTTCATCTGTGTCTCTCTAAATTGGTTGCACTGCATGTGGGTCCGAGCTTTAGATAAACTCATGACAGATATGGCTGCTCAGTGGGGCAAGAATGTTCTGGGTTGATTCCCGGCCCGGGGTCTTTCTGCATGGAGTTTGCATGTTCTCCCTGAGCATGTGTGGGTTCTCTCCGGGTACTCCGGCTTCCTCCCACAGTCCAAAAAGATGACTGTTAGCTTAATTGGCTTCTCTAAGCTGTCCTTAGGTGTGAGTGTGTGAATGAATGGTTGTTTGTCCTTTGTGTCCATTGCCCTGCAATGGACTGGCAACTTGTCCAGGGTGTACCCCGCCTCTTGCCCATTGACAGCTGGAGATAGGCATCAGCACCCCTTGCGACCCCAATTGGGACAAGTGTGTCAGATAATGGATGGATTTATGATAACTCTTTCCCTTTAAACTTTGGCAAGGATTGTATTAAGGCTGCTAAATGTATGTGGCGGTGTTTAGCAGTATGATAATTAGCCATGTTGCAGCAGAGTGAGTCAACTCTATAGGCAGCACAAAGCAAAGGACTTCTGCACATAAAGCGTAGTGAAAGACATCTTATCCTGCTTGTCTTTGAAGATCAGTTCAGGACACTGAGGGTGTTGAGATGTGGTGAAGAAATGCAATGAAATCAACCTATCCTGTTTGAGTGAGCAGGGTCATAGAGTGATTTCATCAGACTTCTTTCACCACAAGGTCTCCTTGACAGAGAAAACATTTAGCTTTAAAATTCATCAATGAAGGGATAACATACGTCAATCCTATCATGATAGACTGAGGTTTAAGTTAACTTCTTACACATATTTTCCAACTGTAGAAAGTATTTTTTCACCATCAGCTAAACACAAATACATATAAAGTTTCAGCCATTAACTTTATGATGTGCAGTTAAACATAAGCCAGAAAAAATAGGTCAGCCAGTGACACAATTGTTTCATTGTTTTCTCGTATCAGGCTTTTTTCAACAAGGTGATGTAACATTTTAATTCGGCTTTTTTGTGTAAAGCTGTCTGTTTATTTCCTGAGTCAAAACAATCCTAG